TTTTTTTTTTGGCAGAGCTTTACTTTCAGACTCGATCACCTGTTGTGGAAATGCGATTGGCACAAGCTGGTGTTCGTCTCGCGGCAACTCTTAATCGGATATTTGCATGATATATTTAGTTATCCACTGAATTAATAAGTTCTTTAAACAACATGAATAATTCATAATCAATAAAACTCGTCTCACGATTTGTACTGCAAAATTAATTGTTTTCATTTTCATACTCATAAAACCGTGTATCGACTATCGATCACTCTGAAGTAATTTAAAATCGAGTAAACGAGATCTTTTACTATGTATTCATTAACTTACACATTTTACACACATCCATATGTACACATGCGCGATTGTGTGTATATTTTTATTGCTAGGTGTATTTTGTACGGTATAGCATATACAAGACCATTGCAACGAATATTTCTCAACACAGGTCAAAGATCCATACAAAAAGTTAATTACCTTTAACTCCAATTAATAATGGTAATTAAAAAGTAAAAACTTTTTTATTTTTTTATTTTTACATGATCCTTTATATCTGCACATTTAGTACAAAAGAAATGCAAAATACTCTTTCAGAACAATTGTCTGAAATATTCACCTTTAGCCTCATTCTTAATGAGTTGAATATAATAATTCACTGTATTTTTTTCTTCATTTTCATCGAAAAGTTTTTGCTGTCGAATAACACCATTAAAGTCATCTTAAATTCTTTCCGAAAGTAAATTAAATTGGAAAATAACAATAACTCCGAATATATATTTGGATAATCACAAGCTCTTTCCATCAAAATTAAAAAAAAAAAAGTAAAAAGAAAAATTAAATAAATAAACTGATCAATCTTTTTTGCTTCACTTTTTTCTTGATAAATATGTACCCCAAACAAACCATTACAGATAACAGTTATATACATAGCAGATAATATATACCTATATACATATAAATAATTACCATGCATACAATATTTCGAATATCACTTTTAATTGCAATAGTTCCATTTTCTCGTGGTTGGGGATACGACGGTCATGTAGCCGTTTGCAGAATTGCTCAGGCATGTTTTCTATATAACTATATCTATATTTACATTTTTTTCTCGAATATTCGCATTTAAATATTTAACATATTGCAATCAATATTTAACAGGCTCGATTAAATAAAGCGGCTGCAGAAGCTGTAAGAAAACTATTGCCAGCTTCAGCAAAGGGCGATTTAGGAATATTATGCCCGTGGCCCGATCAAATAAGGATGCGTTATCCATGGTCGTCAGCCCTGCATTATGTCAACACCCCTGATAATCTTTGCTCCTATAAATACAAAAGTTTGTATCTCTACTCTATTATATGAATACACATAATTGCATGTAATTTATTTGTGAATTATTAAGTTATATATTTAATTACATAATGTGATATACGAAGAAAAAAAATTGCTAGATTATTTCGAGTGCGTCAAATGTCGATTTATTACAGGGGATTGTAAGGATACAAATGGAGCCACGGGCAGGTGCGTGACGGGAGCAATCAAGAATTACACGAGTATACTTATGAACTATAAAAAGCCTCGATGTACGTTCATTAATTAAGCAATGTATTATTCCATAATAATTCACTTAATTTAATTTCAGTTTTATTTGTTCATCATGACTAAGGTTTTGTAATGGCCATTTTAATTATCGCAGCTAATCTCACAGAAGCACTGCTTTTCTTGTCCCATTTTATGGGAGACGTTCATCAGGTACGTACAATGTAATGATAAACGACACATTAATATAATTAGTATAATACACTTATATTAAATAATTAAGATTCTAACTAACTACATATTTAATGATCAATGATTTTGTATACATAATGCAGCCAATGCATGTTGGATTTGTGAAAGACAAAGGAGGTAACACGATCAAGGTGAATTGGTTCGGCCAAAAACAAGTCCTGCATCGCGTAAGTTGAATATCTATTATCACATATATATAAAAATTCTTCTTTTACAACCTTAAAAAGAAAAAGAAAAAAAAAAGAACCGAGAAACCCTAATTAAATCCGTCTCGTTCTTTTGATGTTGCAGGTGTGGGATTCCAGTATAATCGCAAAAGCCGAAGGAGGATCCAACCCTTCAAATTTAGATAAATTCATCAAAAATATTCAACATAAAATTCAGGTAAACGCGCATGTATATCGCATAATATATAGCATATATTATAATTTCCTGACATATATTATATGTATTTTCATGGTATATATATATATATAACAATTGCTTGATCAGTACAGAGCCAATGGGCAAATCAAGTTCACAAATGGGAGCCATGCTGCTGTAATCTGAAATCATGCGCAAACATGTACGTAACATAATATAATTCCAAAAAAAAAAAAAAAAAAAAACTAAAATTTTGCAATTTTACATTCATAAAATATGAATCTTGAACTCGAAACTTAAGTTAAAAAATATGTAACTAATTTCAGATATGCATTAGAGAGCATTAAAGCTGCTTGTCAGTGGGCTTACAAAGGGGCGAGCTCCGGTTCAACACTCAAAGGTTTCTTTCGATCTTGTCGAATAGATATACGTATAGTATAAGTTTTTCTACTAATATCTGTTCATTATGTATATGTTGTGTACATTTTTATTTAAATAAATGAAATTGCAATAAATTTTGTTGCAGTGGATTACTATGCGACACGACTACCGATCGTGGAGTTGCGATTAGCACAGGCAGGGGTTCGCCTCGCGGCAACTCTTAATCGGATTTTTGGGCATCTCCACTGATTGCAAAAGAGACGGGTTATTCGAGATAGATAAATGCGAAATAATGTGAAATTATTTCATTTCTCTATATCGTAATATTTTCGTTTGTCCAAGGTTTCAAGAAACGTGTTTCTCAAGGAAATAAAAATGTTTGTTGACGAAATAGTTACTGCAGAAATATTGTGATAGTGAATGAAATGCTTATTTTTAAGGTTTCATTTTGATCAAGTGTTCTGATTGTAATGATCGGGCCGATCCTGAAATTTACGAGCCCCTTACCGAGCTTTGAAAAAATGGCCGCTTTATAATTCAATATTATTTAACTTGGCATAAAACAAACAAAAACTCAATCTTCAGTGATAATAGACGAACAAAAGGTTTTGTACATGCTACACTCGGTCAATTACACCGTTAATTCAGTACCATTGATATATATACACATGATAGCGCGCACACACACATGCATATATATTTGCATAATGGGTGATTATTTATATAGATATATAGTGCAAAATCACCGAGTGCAGGAAGATGCATTTCGGCGTTTCGGAAACCGAAACATCAAGACATCTGATGATTGAAATTTGAAGCCCTAATAAATATAACGGGACCCTTATTCTTAACGGGCTTGAGTAATTATATGATTATTGGGCCCGTTGAAGGCCCAATTAGACGTATCGCAAACCCAGACCGAAATTAGAAATTCATTTCGATTTTCAAAATTCCTATAATAAGCCCCAAAATCAGCACTTTTCCAAAAATATTGATCTTGAAATCAATTTGAAAATCCCCAAGGAATTAATCATCATATCATTATATTATATTTCATTTTCCTAAAAAGGAAATTTGGCTTAAATCACGGGATTGTCACATAATTAATTCTCTGACCGTTAAGCCCCTGCAATACCAAGGTACTATTATAGCATTTATCTTTTTCATAATTAGCCACAGATATCATAGTCCAAAAAAATTATTTATTGTCATTAATTTACTGCACTAGTATATATTTTCTCCACATTTTCTCATCAAAAATAAAAATTTAAAAATTTTAAAAAATGGAGTTGTCCAAATTTCACACACTAACATTGGTAGGTGTTCTTCTGTTCTTTATTCCTTTTGCCTATGGTTGGGGTATTGATGGCCATCTCATCGTCTGTAAACTTGCTCAGGTTAAATCTCAACCTTAGTTAGCCACTATTTATAATATTATTGTCTCATTTTATTTTCATGGAATTTTTGTCTGATTTTATATATCACTATTCTTTAATTTATTGCAGCAAAGGTTGAGCAATGCAGCGGCAAATGCAGTGTCACAACTTTTGCCGGAATATGCCAATAACGACCTCGGAAGCGTTTGTTCGTGGGCTGATCGCGTTAAATTCCGTTATCATTGGTCTTCGCCTCTTCATTATATCGATACGCCTGATAATCTTTGCACCTATCAATACAAAAGTAAGCATACAATTTTTTTTTAATAAAATAATTTCAAAAAAATAAATAAATTGTTTTTTTTTAATAATTATATTTGTATGTAGGGGATTGCAAAGATGAAGATGGAATACAAGATAGATGTGTAGCAGGAGCTATCAACAATTACACAACTCAGCTTCTCACCTATAGCGGCAACTCCGATTCTTCTTCTCAATGTAAATAAATAAAATAAAAAAAAAATTATTAATTTTTTTTTGAATAATATATATGATAATTTAAAATGTATGTTTATAATTGTCAGATAATCTAACAGAAGCCCTTCTATTCCTATCACATTTTATGGGAGATATTCATCAGGTTCACTACCAATATTACTAGCTAATTTCAATTGTAATTTTTGTAATTATCGATATGATTTATTAAAATAAATTTATTTAATTAATCACTCACAGTTTGCATTTAAATTCTGTTGTCGCAGCCTCTACACGTCGGATTTACTTCGGACAGAGGAGCAAACACTATCGATGTGCATTGGTATAGGAGGAAAGAAGTTCTTCATCATGTGAGTTTTATTATTATTAATTTATTATTATTTTTTTTAATTTAAAGAACTTCACTCATCGAAAATTGTACAGGTATGGGATAACACCATTATCGAGACGGAGGAGAAAAGGTTTTACGATTCTAACGTCGATGAAATGATCGATGCACTACAGCAAAACTTAACGGTACATTATTTTCTCCAAATTTTTTATTAAAAAAAAAAACTCGAAAAATCGGTTTCCATTTTACGCCTCTTCTCATAATTCATACATTTTTAACAGACTGTATGGTCTGAACAAGCCAAGGGATGGGAGGCCTGTAGTAAGACAGTGTGCCCAGATCAGTAAGTTTAATTAAAAACAATTACCAAATTAATCAACACTAATGAATTCTACGAAAATCGAGTTCTAATTTTTTATTCAATTTTGCCATAGGTATGCATCTGAAGGTATTAAAGCAGCCTGTGATTGGGCTTACAAAGGAGTTGATGAAGATTCTGTTCTTGAAGGTACATTTTTTTCCTAAGCCAATTTATCTCTATGTAATAAAATTCATTTTTTTTTACTTGTAATAATTATTAACATAATTAATCACAAATTTTGCAGATGATTACTTCCTGTCTCGTAGAGCAGTTGTTAATCTGCGGCTGGTTCAGGGTGGGGTCCGCTTGGCGGCGACTCTTAACCGTATATTTGGATGATCGAATTACATTTCTGCCCTTGATTAACCAAATGAAGTTATGTGTATAAACCTTCTGTTATGCAATAAGTTTGGAGGAATTTCGCCTATATTGATTATTTATTTTCTCTGGTTGTAAAAATCGCTGGTGATGCTCGTTAGTCTAATTCGAGAAATTAAAATCGAGAAAATTAACTAATTATCACAAATTAAGTCGCGAGAAGTAAACGCGTAATTTTTTTGCATTACACAGTCCACCTTGTAAAGAGTAAAATTATCCTATTACTTCAACTGCAAACTCAACAGATTTTGAATTCATATTAAATGTTACCAAAAAAAATATATAAAATCAATTCGCTTCTTCATTGCGAATGAACTGAACGAACTTAGATCTCATCTCTGTAGGAATACGAACAGGACGATAGTTTTTATCGAGGCAAACTGCTGTAGCTCTAGCCTCCAATATTGGCTTGGGAAAAAAAAATACAAATTTCAAAAAATTCGAATATTAAGATCATCTATTTAAAAAGGCTTCGTTTTCATATATTAAATCGGAAATTGAGTTAGGAGGGTGGAAAATATACGATACCTCTAAAGTAGGAATCTTGTAGATGAAATGCTCGAAGAACAATCGAACGGCAGAAGAATCGGATAACCTCACTTTCACAACAAACCTATCTCCACTCTGTATTATGACAATATATATAAATAAAGAAATTAGCAAGAAACTTAGTTAATAAATAAACATATGTTTATAGAATATTACAGATGTACCCTCAAAGGTGCGAGAAACTTGAGCGATAATTCGGTTAAGGCCAATGCATCTCCGGTTCGAGCAACGGCATCTGCATTTATACCAATCCTCTCCAAAAGTTCGTGACGACCTTTGTTATGTACAAGGAATTTTGGCATAAATGTCATTTTTGTAGAATTTTCAATTTTGTATCATATTGTATATAAGTAATAATAAAAATAAATGAGCAAATTAAAGCAGTCTCACTCACCATGTTGACAGTAACTTGCATAAATTGCATTATTTACGACACCGTATTGATCGAGTTCGTAGTCTCGTACTTTGAGTTCGATTTCATGGAATCCCTTCATTCTGAAAATAAACATGTCTTAAATTAAATAAATTGAATATAAAATGGAATATTCAAGAATCTGAAACCAACATTTTGACAAGTTAATAAGAAGACCATAAAATTTTAAAATTGAATACTGAGTTGACTCACCAGAACAATTGATAATATGGGGGAAATAAAAAAAAAAAAGATTTGAAAATACCCTTTGCCACCTGTAAAGTCAAATGCAGCAGCGTTGCAGGTTTGCATCCGGGATGAGGACAAACTCAGACGGGGCAGCCGGAAATTACGCCGGGAAATCGCCGGAAATTTTGAAGAGGGACAGGAGAAAGGGAAAGTGGTGGAGAGGTAGGCACGTGATCTCCGGAAGGTCACGTGAGCGCCGGGATTGACGAAACAGTGAGACATTTTACTTAACGAGTGGGGTAATTTTTTTGTAGAAGGTTGAGAGATTCGGAGAAATTAAAAATGGCTGCAATTTCTTGATTATTGACGTTAAGGTTTATGCTAAGGGTAGTGTCGACCTCGGAGTACCAGGGCGTGCATGGCTG